CTGACTTACCTTTGGGGTGCCCACCGGTTTTTCCCATTGAGGCGCACACCACGGGCAGGGGCCCAACTTGCACTGCTGGACGCCGAGATTCTTGCATTGAGGATGGTGCCGTCCTCCATCCCTAATGGTGATGAACACTCGCCTTTCGTACACTCAACTGCCGTGGGTAGTGGCTCCGTTGGTCCTTCATTTTCGGGCAAACATGGAAATAAAAATGAGAATTTACAATCATTATCATTTTGAAATCAGTGTGAGGAAACTTTGCTCATGATACTTAAAGGGAAGCTGCAATGGAATTTTTATGATGTCAATCTCTGAATTTCATCTTTTAGTCCCAGTTAATCCTGTTAATGCTTTATTATTGTGAAAGGCATTTTATTTTTTTGCCGTTTGAGATTTTATTCGAATGTGTATTTTCATATTCATGAACAAAACTGTCATGTCATCTCAGAAAGAAAACCCTTTCTACGAGATGTTTTCAGTGAGTTCACAATGCAATTTGGACAAAGAAAACTATGCACTGAACCATGTCTTCACTGGATGACATCACAGCATCCGGGCTCTCTGTTGTCTGACAAAGCACAAATAATTATGAATGCTCAAGAAAGTACACTTGTGAAGGTACAGGTCCTGGAGTTCGACCAAGAAAGGGCGCTATTCTCTTACCAACGGGGCTCCCTTTGTTGGAACTGGACTTCGCCGATTCACAAAAGACTAGGAAATGCACGCGTAACGGTCGTATATCGCTAACAGCAAAATGAACACCCCCGACCAACGCGGCTCTTTTTAACCGATGAGGGGGTGCTTCTGCTCGAGGCGGATTGACCCGTGAGTCAGTTCGGTCAGTTCGTCAACATTTGCACCAAACGTAACGTATATATCCGTCAAAATAGCTCCGGGGCGATTTTGATTTGCCGAACGCAAAGGACACGTGTAGGTTCATGGAGTCGATATTTGTGTCCGTGAAAGTGAAACGCAACGCGTCGCGCAGCCAAAAAAACGTACAAATGGAAGGCGCCTTAAGGCCGTGCTGATAGAGCAGACCTCGCCGTGCGTCCGAGAAACCAACGGCTGTGCTTCCTCTTGGGCATGCGCTGTTAGAATACTGAACTGGTCCATACTTCCATACATTGAACAAGAGTACATGTATTATAGTGGCAGAAAATCAGTGCCTGGGAAAAACTCTGTCCATCTACACTTTAAAAACAATCCTAATATACCTGTGTGTGAAACTAGTAAACACTCGCGTATTAAAACATTCGAGTGTGAAACACTGTTTTCAAAATGCTCTCATTTGAACTTCCCCAGGTTGAAATTTCTAAGCAAAATGTTTAATATATAAAATTCTTCAATTTTAAACCGATAATTACACATTGAAATTCCTCCTTTTGGGGTAATATACAAATCATCTATCCTCATGGAGACCTTTTCAACTATTCTCCTGGGTCTCCGCAAGGCACCTGATTGGTAATCCCTAAAACCATTGTCGTCACAAGGATACAAATTTCGGTTTAGGTGCATTAACGTGTGTGTGCGTGATGGGTGTGAGCAGTGTGGGGCGGCGGGGTTGGGTGGGGAGGTGTGAACCCGAAAATGTGCTAATTCAATAACATTTCTGAGAAAGGATTACTCGTTTGGCTTATTGCCGTTTACTCAACAAGGAATCAGTGACGAAACGGTTATTTGGGACAACAAAATATCAAAAATTGTATTTTTTTCACAAAACAATGGAACACTGCACATCACCCTTACTTTTTGCTCATGAATATGACTTTCTGTGTAAGCAGAAAACCAAAGACGAATATACCCTTTATAGCAGGAAAATGACAACAGTTCCGAACAGAAAAGTGTATTTTCAACGGCTATGTTGAAAAACTACAATACATACACCTTTTAATACGAGACTTTTAACTAAAGACGCTTGGAAGGTGGCAAACGTCCTGGTCCTTTCCCAATTATTGTTTGCTTTTGTTTGAGCAAAATAGAGTGCGTTCGATTTGCTTGCACGCGGCAACTCTGACCCGGGGAGGGCCATGTGAGCCATGTTAAACAGCGAGACGGTACACGGGGATGAGTTTAAGGGAAGCTTCAAGGAACTCACCGGTTCCCATCAGAACCGTACCTCTTCCAAAAGAAATTTATCCACATGGAGTTACCGCAAGCCCTCTCTTTAGCCTATCTCCACCACGCAAAGTTCAAGTCTTAACTACAGTCAGATTGTTTTAATAGTTCGTGGTGGTAGGGTGTCCACAGAATGGCCAGAAATCACGTGTTATGTTTGTTCCATCAAAAGCTATACATACCTATTCCACATCCCGTGACTTCTTCTTAGGGGTTTCACTAATGGTCACCCGGACCATGCCCGGACAGTCACTGAAACAGGGCGGGGCCAAACCTACATTCCTGTTCGTGCACAAAGTGCTGCTCCCATATGTTCGTACACCGACTCCCTACTGCCACGTGTCTGCTACATGTTTGTGAAGAAAATACCCTCTCCCCTCTTATAAAATGGACCACGCCACAGAGTCACTGTTCTTATCATTGTCAGCGTTTCTAGAGCCTTCTGGCTGGCGCCCAGCCGATAGTTCACTGACCTCCAGCCCGCCCCCCCCCACCCCGGAATCTGATTCTGGCCATGTGGAAAAATTCTGTAAGTAACCACGCAAAATGATACACACAGGCTTGCCCAGGTTTCCATCTCTTTTACTCAGAAAGCTAGTAGGAGAATGTGATTAAGTCCTTTGTAATATAAATATGATTTGGCCATAATTTGGACAATGTGTCACCTCGCTTAATGCACTCCTTCAAAGTGCACCTTTGTGTCTTAGTTAATCTTGTATTCAGTTTTGATTCAATATTTCAAAGGGTACATGTTGGCCTATTTTACCGCCAAGGGTAGATCTAGGGGCGTGGGGGCGCAAGCCTCCCTTTTTCCCACAAAAAAGTGCTACCTGTACGACTGCATTTAATTTGAAGTAAGCTTGGATCTCTACAGGGTCCTCGCTCAGAAAAAGTTCGTCCAGGTATCGTAGCGCCCCCTGTAGGTATGACGAAGCAGGCACGTTTACCCCATCAAAACGTATGACAGTACATTGGCAGTGATCTTTGTAAGGTAGGAACCAGCGGGCCTGGGTACCAGACCGTGGGTTGTACTCCGTTCCAATGAAGCATAGTTGATGGCATGATACCAGAACTATGGAAAAAAATCATAAAAAGAGGGAATGGCTTTGATGTCAGACGTGGTCTTATCGAAACTTTGAGGCAATATTTCCAGTATTCCCGGTGCCCCCACTAAAAAAACCCGATTAATAGATATTGAACAAGGTTTTCCCCCTCCCAAAAAAACACATCACTGAAAGCTGGTGCTCTCCAATAGGAGGTTGGTGCCCCCCCTTGCGTCCCCCTCCCCGTAAAATCCTAGCTACACCACTGGTTGGCTGTAGTGTCATGACCGTACATTAGAGCCCGCTTCTAGTGAATATAACTTTTTTATATATGTATATGCATGTATACGAAGCAAAGGTAGGTTTTTTTTTTTTTTATGTCGTCAGCACAAAAATTATTTGGTCAGAGCTCTATACGCTCCAACTCAGCAAGCACGGTTCAAAAGCCATTTTTTGTTTGGTTTGTTTTGGTTTTTCTTGGTCGGGGCAAGATCCTTTGCACATGATGTCATATTTTAAACTTTTGTCACTGCTCTTTCATTGGGGAAAACATCTTATGTGAAATGCGCATAATGACCCTGCAAAATGATCCCGAACTATTCATTTAAATAACAAAATATGAAATGCAGAATTTCGATTCCGACATTTTCCGTTTTTGTCGTCGTCGTTGTTAGGCCTTTTTTGGGCAGGGATAAACAGCCCCCTAGCCAAGACCAACGAACGAACGAATATTTAGACAAAACTGAATTAAGAGAATGAAATTAGAAGAGCAAAAGAATTGCCATCAGGAGCAAAATCTCTTCCATACGTACGTCCTAACAGAGTGAAAGGCATTTCTGACAAATTTGTGTGAGAATGAATATTGCTCCGTGCGTGTCTATGTGAATGGAGATATCAATGAAAAAAGTAAGTCTAACTGAAAACGCGAGCTTACCTGTCAACGTCGATAACACCAGAATCTGAACTTCAGTTGCACCGTCCATTCCTCCAGATATAATGTGAACGTGAATCTTTCTGGTTGATCATTATAATCAAATACACGTTCACAACCCATCACACAGCAGCTTGCTGTGAAGAGCGCTGCTCGGTTAGATGTCATTAACAGCCATTTAGGAAAGAGTCTGAAAGTGGAACCAGAGCCAAAAGCTTCCTCATTGGTTCGAATTTGCAGTAGGCCCCTAATGGGCGGGACTATATACATCAGACTTAATAAAAATTTGAACTCGGAAGAAAAAAGGCTACCAGTTAGTGGCTGTCGATCAAAATAAAGGCTGCAACTCAGTCCATTTTGTCAGGTGCTGAATATCATGCTTGAATGACTTTCAAATTACCGACCCTTCAGCGTAGGCAGGGAGCAGACTAACGCCATTAGCAGCCAATCAGCAAAAACCAGGGTCCAAATCTTTTTCGTCTGAGTGGTTCAAGCTTACTACTTAGGCGTGGTCATTAATGTAAGCAGGAAGAGGGACAACCAATCCGATTTCCATAGAAATGAGAAATGCATTGCTTCTTGGTGCCAATGCTATACTAGTGCAACCATATTGCATACCACAGCAGTTGTTAGGCAAAGGTCCATCTGACACAATCCCACTATTTCAAAAATACCAGCTGAAACCCGACCCTAATGATGCATGACCCTTATCCAAAAGCAACGCAAGGCATGAGAAACTGACTGTTTGCATGTCACTGTTCATACGCTTTGTTTGCAGGTTCCAATTAGCCATCCAACATGTAAATCCAACTTTCGTTTATAAACCCCCGGCCTTATATTCCTATGGGCGTAAAGGGAAATGGAAATTAAGTTGGGCAAATTGTCCCGAGAAGAGAATGTCCATAAAATTGTTTAGTCGATGTTTTAAGGACGGCAGGAACATTCCGGGGACTTTCGCAAAAACCCAAAAATTGTGTCCAGTAATCTCGCTTAAAATGAAATCAAAGTTGCTGCTGACAATTTCAATAAGTTTGATACTGCATGGTTTATCTTCCGACGTGAGTTTTTACAAATAAATAAATCTGGAAGAGAACTAACCCAAAGCAAGCCCTTTCAGCCTTACATGACAACGGCAACACAGGAAAAAACCGCCTGACTGGTACAGCGGTCTAGACCTTGCGAAATGTAAATGTCTTTTGGATATAAAGTCCCAATTAATAATGCAGTTACTGCACGAATATACATCAAGCAAGGAAGCCATCCAGGGATTTCCTGATTTCTGCCGCGTCTCCTTGGAGAAATATTGCGGTCCAGTGAAACGAGACAGATTTTATCCCATTATCTTCCAATTAATAAATTACACCATTCATGAATGGAAGGCCGCGAGTATGACGCTTACAAAGAGTGAAGACAGTACGCATTTGTTGTTTTGTCGTAAATCCAAAACAGCGTACACAGAACGAGCGCTTCTCTATAAACGATTGGATAGCGCGCGGAACCTACCTAGCTCCGTGTTCACGAAGCCCCTGCGACCGGGCTCCTCGATCTTCGGTGAAGCATACCACGCTACTGAGTGGGGATGGTAGGGGCTATTCACCCCCAACCAAAAAAAAAAAAAAAAAGACAAAAAGCCTAACAATGACGATGATAAAACCGGAAAATGTTGGAATCGTAATTCTGTTTTCCTTTTTTTTTTTAAATTAAATGAATATAGCCGAAACCATTTTGCAGAATATGCGCATTATACATTAGATTCTTTTGTCCTTTTTTTTAGCTCCCAAAGTGGAAGAGCAGTAGCGAAGGCTAAAAGACGTGCGAAGAATCTTGCCCCCACCCAAAAAATGGCCCTAGAACCGCGCTTGCCGGGCCTAGTTGGAGCATACAGAGCCGTGACAAGATAATTTTTGTGCTAACAACATAAAAACTAAAAGCCTACCTCTGCACCGGGCCTTTCGCAAAAGACCAAATCGGTGAAGCCGTAAGGAACGCAATGATTGCTTTTTCTCTTTTGTCTGCTGCAAATTTAAAATGAGCCGCCATCGTACATGATGCACTAACTGTGGGATAGAAGGACTCGGCTTTTGTCTGTCTTCCTGCCTCGACCTTTTGCTAGCATTGCAGTTCTGACCAGAAAAAAACGGCCTGTTTTTTAGAATTCACAATGAATCATTTATTTTAAGGTGCACATTCCGCTTACGTTTCGCTGCCGGCTCCAAAAAAGTACGCCGACCCCCCCCCGATCGCATCAGGCAGTGCCGGCGCCTTCTCACCAGGATTGGGGGCTTCTACTACAAAGTACAAGGTGGGACCGATGTGACATTGTAACAGCGGTCGATGTTTATGATGTGGTCATCATACAGGAATGACGGCGCTCATAAAGCCTTCTAAATAGAATCTGCCCCGGAACAGTACATTGCCGATATAATAAATAACATGAATACAAAATAATAAGGCCATTGGGGACGATGAAGTCAGTTGTCACCTATATATTACAATTGGGATAGCATGATGGCCATGGAGGGACATCGCCAACCGTCAATATTGACGTCGATATTTTGCAAGCACGTACATCCGTGACGACCCACTCTTCCGTCGCGAATATTGACGCCAATATTCACAACAAAATTCACGACTCACTCTCTGGTCGTGAATATTGCCATCAATATCTGGGACCAAAATTTGCGACTTGCTCTTCAGTCACGAATATTGATGCCACTGTTTGCGAGCAAAAAGCGCAGGACTCGTTGATCTCCGGTCGCAAGTATTGCCGCGATTTTTTTCCAGCAATCTAGGCGGAAATGAAGTTTTCAAACGCACGCGTAATTACCTACATTTTCCGACTTGACAACAAGTCGCGTATCGGTTGGGCATTGTTGGCACAACAAAGGGGGCACTACGTTAAAAAAAAAAACTGCGTCAAAAGCCGAGCAACTTCTCGTTGGCTTGCCGGAAAAACATTCGCAGAAATATTTACAACTGGAGACTGGCGGAGAATTTTCCTTGAATTGGGACACTGCACCCGTATTACCGTCACGCATATAATTTTTTCACGTACGTACGCGACAGTTTCCACGTACGTATGTGAAGCTATGACGTGCGTACGTGAAAATGCGTGGCGGCAATACGTTTGAGTAAATGTGTCTTGCATCGTCCATCGTAAAATTATCAACACATTGGTACGGCGGCATTTTCGGCGTGCATTTGCGTTGCAGTATCAAGAAACAGTCAGAATTTGTGAGTAATTTTGTGGCTAATGCTTCACTTGCCAACATCCTGCATATATACACAGAACACTCGCAGCCGTAGACCAAAGCACCTGTTTCGTGCAAGTACGGTCTCAGCTATTTCTATTGATTCAAACTCTGACCTTTGAAGTTTGAGCTCTGCCAGCTACAACCACCATGGTTAGATGTGAGTGACAGGTGAACTGATGCGGAAACATTTTTAAGCACAAAGCTGTAACTCTTTCTGATCAGATGTCAAAGGAAACATGTCAACAGAAAGCTGGATCATTTCTTGGTAATACTGGGTTCGGCCTGATGTTAATTTAGATTATTTGTAAGTCTGCATTTTGTAACTGACCATTCGTCAAGTCCGATGACAGCACAGTTTTTCCCGGACGTTGCGCGATAGCATGCAGTCACTGAGGCACAACGCCTCGGGCTAGGCCCGAATACTTTGTTCCTGCGTGGTTGGGTGTCCGTGGTAAACATGGTAAACGGGGTGCTGTCAGCCCCATCTACCAATACCATGTCTACTAAATCATAAATGATCTGGTATTGATTACAATCACTGTATCACTATCAGGGCCTGTCTGCTCGCGATGCTAGGCCTAGTGCGTGTACCTGCAGTTGCTAGACTCACCACCAGTCAGTCGGTGGCCTCATTTGAAGATTTGTCTCCTGCTTTATCTGCAGTGGTCACTCACTGGGCACAGTCCTCCTTTACAGTTTATAGCTTGATGTGCACTGAGTTAGTGACTAAGTTGGGAAAAATTAATTGGAAAGAGTTCCATACACTGACATGAGGGCCTTCTTGACACCCTGTCTGCCTGTGCACAAACCTTATGAGACTGGTCTGAAAAATTCTAAATACATGTATTTCCTAATTAATGCTTCGATATTTTCCTTGCTACCAAACTTTTTATGACTTTCCAATGGCTAAAATTTAAGGGTGGGCCTAATACATGTACATCAACGCGGGAAAAAATTAGTGATGTGTATGGAAGTGTTGCCTGATAAATTGCTTTGGTAAGAATTATAGACCTGATATTGTTAATTTTTCTCTGCCACTTGATGAATGTATCAGCCATGAGGAAGCAATAGCACATCCTGGAAAGTGAAATGGAGCGGGGAAAATGTCGAGTCCTCTGCTTAGAAAGGATTTTTTAGATCAGTCTCGTTGAGTTTGTGCATGGGATGTCAATTGAGAACTTTACAGTTTGCTTTTTTTCTCTCCAGGCACATTCTGTAAGTTCTCCAACTTCCTCGCTGCTCATCTGAAACCATGGCTGGAGGTTTCCTGGCAATCGTTGTCTTTGCTGTTGCTGCAGTGATGGCTAGTTTGCCTGGGACGTTTGCTGCTTTCTATGGGGCGAATTACTGGAATGACCGCTACAAGGAATTCGGCATCGACTATGAAACCGGTGAGTGCAATGTTATGAAAGCAGTGGATTTCACAAGTGTTTTCCAAAATCCACTCCAGTAGATTTCTGAAAGAGAATATTTGAAAGAGTTCCATATGCAGACATCACTTGACACCCTGCGTACAAACCCTATGAGCCTGTTCTGAAAAGTTTTCTCTAACAATGTACAGGTTTCGGTCCCTATGGGTAATTCCAGAAATCAGGGGTCCATTTTTGTTCGTGTCCCTGTCACATCTGACATATGATTTTGTAAGTTTAGAACACATTTTCTAATTTCCAAGAGTGATGAATTGATGCAAATTACCTGCCAAACAAATAGTAATAGTTTGAAATCAATTCCGGTGATATTTCCATGTCAAATAACAAAAGTCAGATGTAACAGGGACACTTAAATGTCACACTTTTGGACCCCTAATTTCTGGAGTTACCCCTATATTATTTTCCTTTCTTACTTGAAATGAGATAATGAAATGGGGCTGAGAACCAGTCAAGTGAAATGAAGTTCTATTTAACAGGTACCATTCAATATAACAATTCAATGACATTTGATCAACAATCCACCAATCAGATGACAGGGATTTATGCAGGTATTGCAAAACAACTCACCATGTACCGGTACATGTGAATATTTTCCATTTGTTTTTTTCATCTTGCAGGTAGTGCGATGTTCAATGGCCTTTGGTCAGATCAGCCCAACCTCAAAGGTGGTTACGGACGGCCCAACACAGACTACAGCTCAAGAGTCTGTGACTGTGTTTGTGATGAGAAAGAGAAAACTGCGGACTGCAGAACGCAGACAGTCGTGTAGGTTCAGTGATGTTGCTTAGTTACGATTCGTGTATACGACAGAGAGCCAGGGTTGGATGGGACTTCATTCTCACATTTCTTCCTGTTAAGTTTAGGACAAATGCTGAAGATCTTGAATGAATTAAACTTAATTCTTTTTTTAATAAAATATTAAGATATAAGATTTAATTTTTACGTCAGTGAGGTACTAAATTTTATATTAGTATTGTCATTCAGTCAGCCATGTCTATTACTCCGTAGAGTGGTCAGTCTCGCCTCAGGGCTTGTGAAAATATTCACCAGCTTTCTCAGGTTGGACGTGAACCTATGACCTTCTAAACTGCAGTTCAGGTGTCTTATCACTCAACCACTGAGCTGGCAGGGGTCGGCTGGCTGGCTAAGTTCATTAAGCTGTGGGTGCTGTGCTAATCAAATTTAATTTTTAATAATGTGTATTATTGCAGTGGGCCTCTAAACCAGATTAATCTTCAGAAGGGGATTGTGAGAAATATCTTCCCGTCTTTGGAGAAAATATGGTTGCAAAGAGTGGGGGTAACTTCAAAATCTGCAAAACTTCTGCATAATTGGCACAGAGCAATTCATGCATCTACAGAATGGTCGTACTCATAGAGCGGACTCGAACACTGACTTCATCAGATGTCAATGTTCCCACTTTCAGTGCATTCAGCACAATACCGATCATTAACCCTAACCCTCCTGAATCCTTCACCTTTTGGAGGACTGAGGAGTGTTAGGGTTAATTTGTTTGTTCTGCATTTTGTTTGATTCACTGTATTGCATCCTTTTGTCTTTTTCTCTTGTAAACGAACGAACCGTAGAATTCTGAAGAATATGAACTTTGATAACATTACTGCGGAGATGTTCAACCCAGAAACCACAGATATGTGAGTAGAACTCCTGTGTTTGCTTGCTAATTTGAGTGTCTTATCGTTGGTGGCATTTAGACAGACTAAAATGAATAAAAATTACTATACTGAGATTTGGACAAGTCACATTCAGATTTGGCAAATTTAGAAGAGCCTTATTGTATTGAGTATTGTAAGTAGGACAAGAAAGTAATCTTACTAGTTCATTGGAAGTTGTTGACATTGCTCAGTTCGTTGTAACTTGTTGTGATAGATTGTTTTATTATCGACATTATCATTGATTATTTCTTCTTGTAGAACCATTGTTGGAGGTCCTAAACATCTTGAGAGAAATGCATTCGGCCTTCTCACTAAGCTCACAGAATTGTAAGTTGTTGAAGTCTTTAGTGTCAGGCATGCAAAATGCTGCACAAAGTCTTGTAAAGGTTGGAATGTCCTCAGTTTTTTATCAAAGTCCAAGCTGCATGCCAGTTAGTTAGAGAAGAACTTGTGAATTTCATGGGTACAAAATAATGGTTTTCAGAGCTGTAAAATTTGGCTTCATTATAGCAAAATATTAAAATCATGGTTATGGATGCAGACTCATTCCATTGGTCGGTATAACTGCAGCATGTCAGACAGGTGAGTCAGACTTTCTCACAGTTTAAATGAATGGTTTTATTTCATTTCTTTCTCCAGGACAATACACAACACGGACATATCAACCTTTCCTGACCTGTCAAACTGCACAAGTTTGGAGCAGCTGTAAGTATTTTCTTTGTCCTCAGAGCTCTGAGAGAATGTTTCAAACGTATTTTTTTACAACACGTTATTTCTTGCACTGTAACTGAAAATTGCTGTAGTCTATGAGCCCAAGGGATGGAACTAGCGTGTCGGGTACACAAACTGTTCCTTATGTCAGTGGCAAACTAGCAATGTTATTCTACGGTACATGTGTGTCTCTTGCAGGGATCTGACAAGGAACAAGATTAACCTGTCTCCGTCCACCTACAAAACCATTACATTTGCCAAAACGCTGAAAAGAGTGTAAGTTCTGTGAAACCCAGTAGCTTTAGATGGATGGAATTCTGTCATAATTCATGTTTGTACATTTTTGGTTTTTCATGCTAAAGAAATTTTTCCACTTAAGTTCCTAAAAATCTTGACTTAAAAAACATACAATCTACACTGCTAAGAACCCTTTCCTTTTCAAGTTATTTTTGTTCAGTCTGTAAGCACATGTGTGTCTTTGTTGGTACACCTATCTGTCACCCTATCTGTTACCCTCCATCAGGAGCCTGATGGAGAACACCATTAACTGGCTTCCCTCTGGATTCTTTGCCAACACCAACATTCAGTACCTGTAAGTATACCCAAGATATTGTGTCCCATTCTCCGCATTCCATTTCACATATTCATCATCACTGGTAATCAGTGTTCCTTTAATGTTGCTACATTAACCTGTTGGTGGAGAGGATAACTCCATCAACCTGTTGGTGGAGTGCATAACTCCATCAAACTGTTGGTGGAGTGGATAACTCCATTAGCCTGTTGGTGGAGTGGATAACTCCATCTACCTGTTGGTGGAGTGGATAACTCCGTCAAGCTGTTGGAGTGGATAACTCCACAACCTGTTGGTGGAGTGGATAACTCCATCAACCGTTTGTTGGAGTGGATAACTCCACAACCTGTTGGTGGAGTGGATAACTCCATCTACCTGTTGGTGGAGTGGATAACTCAATCAAGGCGAGTATTTCCTTGTGTACATTAGTCAGAAAATCAAGGTTCTCGTCATTGATAATAGTTAAACCCATAACTTTAAATGCAAAATGTATAGTTGTTTTCAGTCTGGCAATATTTCTTCCCTTGTACTGTCTTCCCCAGTGGTCTGAGCATGAATAAGCTGGCCACGTTTCCCAGCGATTCCCTCCAGAACATGAAGAACCTAACCTTCTTGTCTCTGGACCTCAACAAGCTCACCTCGGTCTCCAAACGCAATCTCTTACCCCTAGCGTCCTCTGTGATTCAACATCTGTAAGTTTTTACAGTTGTCATCAGTCACTTGGTTCTGTGTTGTAACTGAGACTGTCACAATACCAGTCACAAGATCAGTCATGAGACCAGTCTTAAAACCAGACACAAGATCAGACACATCACCAGTCATCATGCCCAATTGTAAGCTTGAGCAGCTCTGTGAAATTGGCCCCAGGTCTGAGTTAGTCGGTTTAAGTCACCACGTACTTGTATGAGTCGATTTGCAATCCTAGATTAAAAAAATGAACCATCCTCTTTGATTTGAGGACATTTGCCACAATGAAATTGTTTCCTTGTCTTGTTTATTAGTAATCTAAGCAACAACCAGATAAATTATGTTGCACCAAAAGCCCTCAGACAGCTGCAACACCTGAAGATTCTGTGAGTATAAATACATGTACCCGTTTCCCTCGGTCTGGACTGTTTCACATTGAATTCACTTGTGAAATTGGAGGAATGTGTAAATTGGGGGGATTTGGATGCGAGTTTGAATGTCAGTTGATGAAATTTATTCCTGCAACAAACACATTCATTGGGGATGCTGGAAGACATACATCACTGCAATGAAATTGACTGTATTCCTGTGTCAGCCATCTTGAATTGAAAGTGAGGTTAACTTGTCATTTTTGGAACCTTAGAGTAAAAATATCGGCAACGAAGTAAAAGTTTGTTGCCAATTAATGCCAGTTTAACATTTTTAATCGTTTACAATATTTGATAAATTTTCTAAAAGTTTTAAGCTACATTTAAAAGCCCTGGAAGTGAGGTTTGGAACCCCAAATAGTCTGGCACCACTCCATTTACCATCTTACATTAAATATGATAGATTCAGGGAATTACATGATGAAAAATGTCTTCCCCGTACAAGGTCTATTGATCTTTGGTGCTGTGATGAGGTACATGTGTGTCAATCATCTAGTCTGTACTGTGTCATAGTTCTCATCAATTCTTTATGGAAACCCAAGATATCCTAGAGGCCCGCATCACATAGTGTCAGTTTCAGAAAGAGTATTTGAAAGGTAAATTTGTGGTGTACGTTCTTCACAGAGAGTTGCATCGGAATGCTCTGGATGATCTGCCCCCTCAAACCATGGACAGGATCCCTCAACTGTTACACTTGTGAGTGTTGAGGCATAACGTTCCTGCATGTGCTGAAATTTGTTGGTAGAGACTTGCTTGAGTGATCGCCATAGGGTCCCATATATAGAACAGTCTCAAAAGATTGGGAAAGTTTGAATTCCGGTGGACTGCTCCCAGTGGAATGCTAGCGTTCCATCCTAAAGTTGACATGTCAGAATGAATGGTCCACTTTAGACCTAAGGCAACATTCTTGCATGTCTAGTGGGAATTGTTCCTAATTATGAGACGCTAAGTAAGATTTCAGTGTACCACTTGATGGTGTGATTTCCCTGAGATCAGTAACTACCACTTGATGGTGTGGTTTCCCTGAGATTAGTAACTACCACTTGATGGTGTGGTTTCCCTGAGATCAGTAACTACCACTTGATGGTGTGGTTTCCCTGAGATTAGTAACTACTGCGGTACAGATAACTGTTTGCTGCATGTTAACCAGACATCAGGCATTGCATCAGTAAGGCTTAATCCACTCCAAGCAGAAAAAAGAGGGCATGTTTTTGGGGTACTCACCACACAGGTGCGTGTTTATAATGGTGATAAATAGCGCGTTTGACGCAGAGCATGCTGACTTTTGTATATGGTCTTTGCAATGCGTACACGCAGAATGCGTGCAAGAACCTGCTTGGCAAACTTACTACCATCTGTCTTTCTTCTGCCGCTTGGGGGTGCACTTCAACTCGGGGGCGGATTACTTTCACTCTGAATAAATGTGAACACTTTAGCAAATGGCATTATAATGGCATTAATGGCATTATGTGCAATATATAGTGGTTGTAATCAAGCATATTCAGCACTGTGGCTGCCTTTGTCATGTTTTCTATTAACCTTTTAAGACTTTTCTACCACTTAAATACTGTGCTCGTCACCGTTGCCTTTGACATTGTCTGATGTACGTTGGTTAACATGGGTCAGTGAGAGCATGTCAGCCATGTTGATTGTAGACTTTGATTGTCTCTAGCGCACCTGTATATTTCTTTATTACATCCACCTGCAGAAGCAGGTAGTTGTCTGGTATTTAGACTTCCATTAAACCACTTGTGTATCTGGTTCGTGTTTGCAGGGATTTGAGCTACAACAGGCTTCAAATTTTAAAAGCCAAATCGGTGACGGATCTGCCATTTCTGAGGACACTGTGAGTGACACTTACTACCTCATCATTCCCCCAAACTAAGTAGAAACAGCAGGGTGTCACCGGAGAGGGGAGAGTGGCAAATGATCCCTTTTTTCGCAAATTAGGGCAACTTACATACAGTGCGCCACCAAGAGGTTGTCATAGAGAGGCCATTTGTGAAGTTTATGGTTGACAGAAAGTGGTGGATTCACCACGATTTGCATTTGAGCAAAAATGTGATAAGACAACTTGAGGAAAAGGGTGATTGTTCTGGGAATTCTGTGCCTTACAAAAATTGCACCATTTTCTATGAATTTGACTCTGATACTCTTAACACTCCCGTATCTTCAATCCACACAAACAGTGGAAACTATGCAAGTTCCCCATGCAAACTGAAGCCTGCGCTGTTGACTGTTTTTCCCACAATGCACTGCCTCTACGTGGCAACCTCTTTGTGGTGCACCGCATTGTGAAATGCCGGTATTATGCAATATCGTTTCAAGAGGCCGTCAAGAACAAGTCCAACAGCTATTACGAGTGGTTCAATTCTCTCTGCTGTGCAACTTTGCACAATATTTTGAATTTCAAGTAGCAAATCATTAAGTCAACTGTCCGTCAAAAGAATCACTTCTGTTGTATTTTTCTGCACAGCATCTTGCATAATCAGCAGGATTTGAAGTTGGCCAGCATTCAGTACAATGCTTTCCTTGGTATTGGAGGCAACCTTACAGAGTTGTAAGTACACAGCCATGCTCGTTACCTTGGGAGCTTAATCTTTCCAAGGTTGCCAGTAGAAGAAAAAAGAAAGATGTGGCATACTAAATCAGAGTTGTAAGTACACAGCCATGCTCGTTACCTTGGGAGCTTAATCTTTCCAAGGTTGCCAGTAGAAGAAAAAAGAAAGATGTGGCATACTAAAGCTGCTTGAGTATATAAAATCTACAGGAAAGATTTCCTAGCAAAAGAGGCAAAACTTTGGGATTTACAAACTCTCCTAGCCACAAGCTGTTAAATTCTGACATTGTTTCATTTCTTTTGAATTACGTATTGAATTCCATTTTTAAAGTCTTTCTTGATGGTGCCCCCTACAGCAAAGGGTTGCACGACTGCAGTTGTTTACTGTTCGAATCAGATTGTGAATTGTTGGTTTTCTTTTGCAGATATGTCAGTTCTAATGCACTGCCCTACTTCCCTCATGCTGTCCTGTCTGAAGAGACATACGATCAGCTGGCAGACCTGTGAGTCTTGATATGTACATTGTAACGTGTTTGCGTTTGTGACATTCCATAATAACCAGCCTAGGATGGAAATATATTTAGCTTGAATTTTTCTTGGTAGTTAGCTCATTGTGTGGATTTTGATGGAACCTGATTGCTGATGTTTGAAATGATCTTTTGTGCCCACATGGATGTGCGTGCTGAGTATACTTATGATGGTTAATTGAGCCAAGAAAGGTCTTGTGGAACCTTCAGGAAAAGATTTCTCTCTTGGAAAGAAGGCAGTTAGTTGCAAGAGGTGTAAATTGTAATAGGATCACCGTTTGCAGCTCCATGTTTTTCTTAGGTGAATCAAGAGACCTGAACTTCTTGTAATGTTCAGAAGAGATGCATTTCCAAGTCATTGCCCGAAACCTTCAACAGCAAATGTTCCTGCACTATGAAAAGCTGTTAATTTACTGTAACAGGTGCAGAACTTCTCGTTTCCCTTGTATGTTTATTCTTCCATAAAACACATGGACAAACAGTTGAAGAAGTATAGTTGGTCGGTGACTTGAAACGTTCTTATAGCAGTTTTATCAAGTGGTTTACTCAGGTTTTGAGGAGGCTTATTAAACTTTTTTTCTCGTGTTTTTTGATGATGAGTTGTAGTGGTCTACTCAAATTTCAACTTACAGATAGCTTTGCTTTTCATTTTTTACCATTTTCAGGCACATAGACAATAATTTGATCACCAACGTCACAGAATTACATGTCAACCAGTTTGTCAATGCCCTGACCCTGTACAACTACCGGCTGACGATACATGAACCGTTCGCAAAGATTCCCAACCTGAAGAAGCTGTGAGTTGGAATTGGTGGTCCAAGAACATTTTTTGCTCCAAATACTGGCATTTCAAGAGTGCGCCACCATTTTTGCAATGCAGTGGTCACTGTACGCAATGCGCATTTGAATGGGTTGACATGTCCGGATGTGTCGACTGGCAATGCATATCAGGAAAGGGTAGACACATTTTGCACGTTGTGATCGGCCAACATGCCGCAAACTCTTGGTGGTGTACTATTGTGAAACTTCCATATTGAGTGAATTTTTGCTTCCTCTCTTACAAGTAGAGAGTTGTATTTTGATTGAACTGTACCATTGTATGTCTACTGCAGAACCACCGTAGATACAGAATATATATCAGGTGAATGAGCAACTCTGGCCTCCTTTCAGGGAGCTTCTGACATTGGAATGCCAAAGAAGATTCCAATGACAACATTACTTGTTGCTGTTGAAAGTACCTGCTTTTCGTACTTAGAATCACACATCATACATGCATGCTAACGGAAGAACAGCTCGTTCCAAAGATAATTGGGATTTAATTTCCAGCAGGAACAGGAATGTTCCAATACGAACAGGAACGTTCCAACTTTTGAGGTGTCCCCTTAGCTGATTCTACAGGATCGCTCTCATTGGTCATGTTTGATGTGATATGCTGTAATCCTGGAGTGGAGGAATTATGGCAGTCAACATTTTTTGGCATCCTGCCAGTAATCTTGTTCACTTAATGCAAGGTTGTGCTGAGCTAGCAGCAGGCTGCACTGGCAGATAGATTTAGTACTTGCTTATGAAGGCTAAAGATTCTCTTCCTATGATAGCTAGTGCAACTTGCCCGTCTCTACTCCAGCTGTCCAGTTGAAAGACCGATTTTACTATAGCCAGCATATTCATGAGATTGAGGATATCATGCAAACAGTAGGATATGTTTGGAAACCAAAAAATTGTTTGGGAAGCTTTTGAAAATCTCAAAATCAGTGGAAATTAAATGAATCCAGTCAAGCAGTTGAAAGAGAGAGGGAACAAAGTACTAACCTTCCTCCTGAAATGGCTGCCCTCTGCAGATTCCTGCACATGAACAAAATCAAGGGGGTTAATGCTGAAGACCTGTGCAATATGACTGTCCTTGAGGAACTGAACCTAAACAACAATCACCTCAGAGATGAGACACTGGATCAGAGTGCCTTCCAGTGTCTGACCTTTCTGACAAGACTGTGAGTATTGGGAAGAAATGTCCTTTGTGGGTGGTCAGAAAGATAGGGAGCTTATTTACCAAGCAGTTATCTCTCTCTCCTGTAACACACAGCACCTCCAGAGAATTGAGATACATCTTTGGCAGTCTTGGATGAAGCTCATTAAATCCTAGGTTACTATATTGGGGAAGGCTGAAGGGATTTGGATCATTTTCAAAATCACAAAAATCGTTTCTTAGGGTAGTAAAGACTATGGGTCATGTTTGAAAAAAAGTAACTTGCGCACTTGTGAGGAAATGTGGGAATTTCTTTTTACATACTGAAAGGTATTTTCACTTTGTGAAACAGGGAAATGAGCAACAACTACTTCATGTATGTTCCACCTGCTGTGCAGCTGCAAGAAAGAGTCCAGAGCCTTCGATATTTGTAAGTTTAGTTTAGATGTTCCTTTTATTTATTCTTTGAAATATTGGTGTTTGCTTCAGGTACTGAAACTTTTGCATCAGAGGGTAATTAATGCCCAGGGGCGTAGCCCGGGGGGGATGTGCCTCCCTCTAAAACAACAAGATAAAAATCATGCTTTGCAATACTGAATGGATATTGAACAAGGCCAATGAAAGCTTGCCCCCCATAAACTGCACCACTGAAAGCTGGTGCCCCCCAAAAGATGTTGGTGCCCCCTTTGTGTAACCTCTAGTAAAATCCTAGCTACGCCACTGTTAGTACTCTAATCCTGTGGCTTGATATGAATAATAAATGTGTGCAATTTATAAATTCTTAAGTCTTCCCGACTGGATTATTCAGCTCGAGCATTTTTGTGCGCCTTCAAGGCTGAACCTTTCTCAGAGAAAAATTAGGGGAAAAAGAAACTTTGTGGACCTCATTAACTAATTGAAACTTACATGCATTTGTATTCTCTGTAGTACACATTAAGCAGGTAAGGTAATTTTGCAAAAAGACTCTTCAGATTATCAAATCCTGGCCCTTTCTCGTTGAGAAACGAGTTCTCAAATGCCTGCAAATTAAATTCCCGTATGGCAAAATTTTCAAAATGACACAGCATTCAATCTCTAATGTAGGTACACAGTCAAAAGGCATGCCCTTGTGCAAGCGAAATTATCAAGTTGCTTCATTTCTTGTATCTATCTGCAGGTATCTCTCTGGAAACGACTTGACTTTTTTACTGGCTGGGGCATTTTCCAATGTAACAACTCTAAGAGGTCTTTATCTGTCAAGTAATCACATCATTTCTGTGGAAAATGATGCCTTCCCTGTTGATATATCCCACATGTGAGTAAGAATTAGCTATTTTTTACTACACAAGAATCAAGAATCTTTTTGGGAAAAGTCATTAGACTTCTTGTTTTGAAACATTATTGCATGAGGGCTATTTTGTTGGATTTTAAAGGCTACCAAAGCCATTGTTCCAAAGTTTCAGAAACGAAATTTTGGTTAGAGGCAAAGTTATAACAGTTCACCTGCTTATCTTTGAAAATCCTGTATCATTTTTGGTCTTGGAAAGAAATCTGACTAATAGTCTTGTCTTTTTATCTCAAAATTTTGCAGTGGCCTTAGTAGTAACGAGTTTTACTTCCTGCATGAGAACCCATTCAGTAATTTGACCTCACTGAATTGGCTTCAGCTGGGGAGTAATGAGATTGATGTCATACCAGACTCGGCATTTGATGGCTGCACATCTCTTGCAAACCTGTGAGTGAAGACCTTTGTCTTTCTACTACCAATGCTGAATTACTGAGAGTCAAGCATTTTTAAACTCAGATTCATTTGGATTTCATGTTTGGGCTGTGGTGTACAAAATATTGCAGCTGGTGAGCAAATCTTGGCAAATGTTGAATGTAGTTGATACATTTTTTCAATTGCTTTGTATACTTTCTTATCTTAGTGGTCTCAGCAGCAATAAAATTGGTCGAATTCTCAAAACGACATTTGAGGATTGTCCACTGTCCAGTGGTCTAAATCTAGCCTACAATGAGATAGCATACATCGAGGATGGTTCCCTGGCTCATATAACGTCAACACTCAGTATTAGTCTGCAGAACAACCGACTGACCAAGATTCCTATGGGAGGAGATTTTGTCAATCTTTCAATCACGTGGGAGCTGTAAGTACCTATCAATGTTACAATAGATGTAGCTTCCTTCAATTTCTTGTTACATGTATACTACAGTATAGTTGGAAGAGCTTGTTTGCCCAGCAGAGATTTTCCTGTAACCCTCCTATGCTGAAGTCACTCTTTGGGTCATTTGGTAAACACC